TAATATGTAATCCACGCAATTCAGCTTCTGGCTGCAATGTGGTTTCAATTTAATAATAATAATAATAATAATAATAAGAGCCCTGGGTACGAGAATGCACGGGCCTCTCAGAACGAAGGCCCAGGGGATGAGGTTGTCCTCTAATAAATTCAAACTTCAGGGGGAAGAACTTTCTAAAATCATCTACAAACTGTCATTGTGTATAGAGCAATGGGTGCTCATCACGTCATGAACGATAGCTCTATCCAACAAATATAGTGATTTTGCAAGCTTTAAAATGTCCTTTTATTGGTTTAGTTACCCACTCATAAAACTTTAAAATTTGTTTATTGTATTTCCGCTGCGTTGTCCCGTGGTTGTCCTTATCTGTAGTTTTACAGCATTTCGAACATTCTTACAACAGTTGAAAAAATACTAACCATTTGGTTCACTTCATAGCCTTTTTCGTACACCACAAGCAGTCCGATTTACGAAAGATCTACCTATATTCGCCTTTTTGAAGAACTATAAAACGACGCACTATACTTGATTGAAGTATGTCGGTGGTTTACTATATGTATCTTTTACTAATTGCACGGATTAAATTTATATATACTTACTACTTATATCCACTTGGTCTAGAGCTTGTGAATTTTGTATGGTTATGGCGCATGTATATATAACTGCAGTTATGATTTTTATACATTGACCGTTGGGTAACTATATTTCAGCATTGAGTTATTGGCGTCCCGTGGAGAAAAAAGCCTGCGTATACGTAATATATGGCCCTGCGTGTCAAGACCCATGGTAAGTGTATGATATAGGACAAAGCTAGGTATAACTAAGCATCATTACATTTGATAGCAACGTTTAGTTACAATATTCACCAAATGTATGGTGCAAATGGGAACATTAATCTCTTACATCAGCAAACTTCTCGCAAATTAGATAACTCCAAAGTGGACAACCGCCAAGGAAAACAAACATTACAAACGAATATAGTTATACTGTCTGATGAGTTTTAAAAAGTTACTTACGAGCCAAATGATGTAACTAGCAGAAAATGATCCAAGTCTTGCCACAGCAGATGATGTTCCAATAGCAGTTGCCCTATAGAATAAAATCTCAGAATTTATTTTAAAAATCCGTTTTCCGCATGAAACTAAACGTTTTTATTTATATAAGGATTTGAAACATTTTAACGTTCAGATCCGTTCGCTATATAATTATATATATATATATATATATATATATATATATATATATATATATATATATATATATATATATATATATATATATATATATATATTATATATATGTATACACGAGTATACATATAGTGAGTAGTGTCACTTTAGACACCTGTTAGTTGTGTGTCAACGTATTTCGACATATTATTCTGTAAGTAATTTAAACATAGTTTGAAAATTGCCTAATTGGAAAATTGGGGCTTTCTCGAGGTATAAACAACTGATTTGTAGTACTGGTTAATACTTTACATTATACCCCTGATTTCATTTGTTCATACTCCTGGGAAGTACTGAAAATAGTCATGTTTAATGTTATTGTTGTGTTTATATGGAGTTTAAGAGGACCAGATTGGAAAAAAGTTGTAACTTTATCTCTTTATATCCTCAATAAATATAGTGTTATCATTCTCATTTTCATTATCATTATCATTGTCATTGTCATTATCATTATTATTTTAATATACCTCACTGCAGTTGGAAACAGCTCCGCGCACCACAAATAGACGCCAGAGAAGGAGAAATTGATGAAAAATTTTGCAATGATGGCTGCTGTAACACGTCCGGCAACACTGGCTGAAAAAGAAATCCTAACTAAGTATAACAGCTTTATTTTCATTATTGCAGGCAGAGTCAATTTTTCTGTGCAAAACTATCGGCCAGGATACATATACATTTGAAATCTTAAGCATTGCGTACGAGGCAGGGGGACTGGCTGGGTTGCAGCCCCTCCCTTCTCCCCCCTAAAAGAGAGGTTTTGCAAAGACGACGCGACGTCAAAAACGACGTGAAAATGGCGTACCTATCTATGGATGTGCATGCCCACGCCATCTTTATGCCATTTTCACGTCATCTTTGACGTCGCGTTGTCTTTGCTAAACCTCTCTACTAAGTGTTTAATCGGGCAGATACTGCCACTTTAGAAATCGGGCAATTAGCTATACATATAGGTATACATAATGTATTTGTCATGATATTAATGCTGATGTATTTAATTTTTAGTCAGAGAAACTAAACGACAGATTAAATTTTGTTTCATAAATTTAAATTTAAATTGCATGCATGCATGCAAAATAGAGAGTAAGGTATAAAAAATGAAATCCCAGAAAGTTTCGTAAATAGTTCTATATTTTTTATTTATCGTTTTAAGATTGAATTTATATCCACGCGCCTGTACATATATATAGCAGATGCGTTCCTTCTATTCACCTATCAATAATCCCATGATAATGCCGGGCAATATCCATCAACGTCAGGCAAATTCTTGTCCCGCCCGTACGCCTATATGTATCGGGGAGCGGTGCATGATTTGGAATAGCTTGCCTTAAGAGTCAGTAACTGTACATCTACACATAGGCTATATCATTTTTAGCAACGTCAATATAATTTTCGCGGACCAATCAAATTAAGGTCGCCATTCCCACGATATCGATTTCGTGACGTTAGTAATGTAGTCGTATTCTTCAATGTTTTGACGCAAAAACCATGACATCGCACGCTTTATCGAGCGAGAGGACTGAAATGTTACATGCTTACCCGAACTTTTGTTTGTGGGAATTGCCACTGAGATAGCGGATACAACGAATGCAATAAGCATTGGAATAATGACAGACTTTTTACGACCAAATCTAAAATATAAGTAATTATGATCAATATATAGGCTTGCATAAAGGATTGCCCTAGATACTGTAGTCCCAGCGAAAGCGAAAAGCTTTGTGGTTATAAAGCCAATACGCCAGCAATAAAGGAAAAAATTGTTTTCCAACCTTAAAGTGCCTATATCACTTGTGGGACCAACAGATTTTTTTTATTTAGTGCAATAGTCTTGAGGATATAGGTCTTTAAACAATGGATTGTTCCTGAGTCCCACCCTCCTGGGCTCTATAAACACGGCTATTGAATTTGGCCTTTTTCCAAACTGCCCATTGTGCATAGGATCCTGGTACTCAGGAACTGTAGGGATAGTTTAGAGGCCTGTATCTTAGAAATTATTGCAATAAATAAAAAAAATCTTTTGAACGTATTAACTAACTTTTTACGTTCTTTTGAAATCCATAGAGGTCCCAGAAGTGATATAGGCACTTTAAAACTGTGTAGAATATTCTCTTCACACAATGAAGACAGTCTGAGTAAATTGTGCCCATATAAGTTAGGATTTACACATTTTTTTATATATTGTATATTAGAGCACTCTTTCACTCACCTGTGTGCTGACCAAATATAAGCGAAATTTGAAGGTATTTCGACAACACTGACAAGAAAAACATTCAGATATCTATTTCCACCAAGATCAACAGAGCCAAAAGACACACCATAGTACACAAGGGCATTGGCAAACCTATATATACAACAAAAATCACGGAAATAAAAAAGGATTGCAATATCCCAAAGTGCACATACACAAATACACGTTAGGTCTTCGATTATAGCGGCTGGAATTTTATCGCGCCGCACCCTCCAATTGCCATGGAGAGGAAGGTGCCACGGCACTTTTTTGATGTAGTGTAAATATTAAGGAAGTTGCTATTTTCACAAGCGGCGCAATGTGTGTATGTGTTTATTTCATTAATGTGTTATATGGCATTTCACGGTTATATATAGATGCGACAATTTATATTTTCTACATATAATGCTAATTTTAGTTAATTTATTAGTAGGCAATCCAGCTTAATGACTGCATTGTATTTTATAACAATAACCCTATCTAATGTAAGAACTGATTGCACTTTTGTTATCTTATCATTTAGCTATAGTGTTTCAATAAGACACGAAAATGTTTTACATATATATATTATCCACGTTTTCTTTATCCTACCTGCTTTAGCCCTACTCGCTCGGTCTGTACAAAAAAGACCGCGGTCCGATATTTCTCAGTACAGATCTCTCGTTCGGTTAATAAGAAGTTATTAATATTTAACTAAGAAGACATACCATAAATCCCAACAAATCAAGATTTTCTTAGCAATTTCCCAGCTACGAAATATTGTCCTAAAATTTGCTCGTGTTTCAGGTATCACAGGATTTTGCAGTGTAAGATCGTCTGGTAAAGGTAGTTTATTCATTTTGGAAATTTTGGCAAGAACCGTTTTAGCTTCTTCTTTTTTACCCTTCAATAACAGCCATCGAGGAGATTCTGGTACCAACCTGGCAAAAGAGATGTATATCTCAATAGATGCGCGTATTTCAGTGCTGTAACAGCTACCACACATGCATAGGCGTATATGAATCAACTTGTCCCCCGCTGCTCCCACCCCCTCACTCTCAAATCATACGCCCTGTAACTATACCAAGGAGTGTCTCCAAGGGGAGTCTGTCTACTCGTGTTCACTTGAAATGTTTTCCTTTGTCTATGTGATGTTCTAAAAAATATTTCACCATGCTCCCCTTGCTCCCCAAGCCTACATGATCCCTATGATCACCAAGGCGGCAGGTTATATGAAAATGTAAACAGGTCTTTATAGTTAGATTTCATTATATTTCTTGCATAGCTCATTAGCTAAACCCTCAGATATCTGCATAATCATGCAATTAATTATATTCACTAAAAACGGAAGTCTGAAAGTATTATTGATGTGACAAGATCATGGTGTTTTATTTCCACGAACTGGGAATTGTACTTGTAAATGTTGAAGGTAAATTACTCAAATATTATAATTTTCCTATTATTGTTGTTTGTATTGTTATACATGATATTGTAATATGTAGTATTGTAAACAGTTGGACTTCCCATAATTTCTGTCGACGCGGGATTGAGGTGATCAAAGAATCTGCCTGATTTTTTATATGTATAACTTCAAAATTGCCGTTTGCAGTCACTTCCCCTCCCGCCCCTCGTACGGCTATGCTAGTTGCAACATGCACTAGTTATTATTATTATTCGCCGAAAGCTAGGTGATTATCGGTGAATAAAAACCGAGACGATTAAGTCGAGATTTTTTCAAAGGCAACCAATCGGCGTGGAGAATTTTCAATAATCACCTATGTAATTATACTAATTTGCATTATTCTATTTTTTATGTATTATGAGAAAAATGAACAATTTTTCAAGAGTTACTGCTTATCAGTAACATTTCGTGGTCACCATGCATAGCTTTCAAGCAGGGAGACCCGGGATCATTCCTAGGTCAGACATCCAACTAAATGTTTAAAATATTTGACGTTAAAATCGGACGTTAAAATCGTAGGTATAACTCGGGTCCCTTTCAATTGGGGAATATAAAGCCTGTTGGAAAGTCCGTTCGCCATTGAGTTAGAAACTCAATGAAAACTATATTTGAAGAGGATAATTCACAAGATATTTTGCTCATTGATGCTACAAAAGCCTTCGACTCTTTAAATCGGAAAGTGGCGATGCACAACATCCTAATCTTGTGTCCAAGAGCAGCGTTGTCCATCATTAATAATACGTATCGTTTGCCATCAAGATTATTCCTTGCAGGAGGAGGAGAAATGTCTTCCTAAGAAGGGACTACCCAGACAGATCCTCTTGCCATGCCCTTTTATGCAGTTTTAATCTCCATTATCATACTTCCTCCGAACTGAGCTGGAAAGTGTGAAACAAGTATGGTACCACTGCTGCCGGAGATCTCTATTCCCTTCTCCACTTCCTCAATCACTTGATCACGGAAGCCGCGAAGTACGGCTACAATGTAAATCCTGGGAAGTCTTGGCTTATTTTAAAGAATGAGTTAGACTTAATTAAAGCGAATGATCTGTTTAAAGATCATGGAATCTAGATAACATCAGAAGGTCAAAAATTATTAGGAGCTGTAAGTGGTGCGAGGTCCTTCAAAGAAGAATACGTGACCAATTTAGTATCAGGGGCGGCGGAACATTTTTTTTGTTGGGGGGGGGGCAAAATTTAAAAACGTTTACTGTAATATTTGACTAAGTGGAAACACAAACCACAAACGGCATAGCGTTTAGTGCGTGTGGCGGATATGTGCATGGATGTTTCCGAAGAGGGTTAAAAGCACCAAATTGTGCACAGTAGCATCTTTTTATGAGTAGAACAACATGCAAAAGTGGGTCCATCATGAAACTGTTTTTTTTTTAGAGAGTTACGATGCTATTCGCATTATTTACTATCAACTTAGAACAGTCACCCTAGCAGGCGGCAAAGTTTGGTTTTAAATTATACACAATAGAGTTAAGAAACATTTTTACCAACATTTTCAAATGCTAATAACAGAACCCCCACCCTCCCTCCTCATTACATTGTCATTTTGCTTTCCAACATAAATCTTTTTGTTTAGAGATTAATACAAGAATGCATGACGAATAAATGTATCGGATATATTTGCTGGATAATTTTATCAGAACAACCCATTTGCAAGACAATCTTATATAAATTCAGTATAACTGTATAAGAATATAACTTAACACCTACAATAATCATATGGATGGATCTGATCAATGGCATACAATGTAGAAAAACAAACTTGTGCTCATACGGATGCCTTCTACTCAAGCGGATTTTCTCCCATGCACAACACAAATTGTTTGAATATGTTGTGTTATACTGAACAGTGTGGTATATCATTAATTAACTGTGCACAGGCCACTAGAATTGAGTAATATACTTCACTCATGACTTTCAAAACATTCCTTACTGATCAGTGGTCTTCGATGTTATTGTATGATTGACCTCCTTGCTACAGTAATGTATGTTCCTCGAATAGTTTGTGCATGTTACTCAACAGTTAACATTGGCAAGTGTAAACAACAAGTGACAGAACTTTTACTTCATATGAGTACAATACCACTTTAATAACAGTTTACGTTTAGTAAATAGCCAGCTGTATAGATACTAAGAATATTTTTGCATGAAATTTTTATTTCCTGACAGCATAATTATCCTTTACAATCATAATCACATTATAAAATTAGTTCAATTTTCTCGGTGGGGGGCAATTGCCCCTGCTGCTCTCCCGGCTGGGTACAGCCCTGTTAGATGTGCATTATGTTTGACTTCAAAATCTTATTTGCTATTATATTTATTTATAATAAGTGATGAAATATTTCAAATGTCCCATCTCATCTTCATTATTCAATTCCTTTCAAGAAAATACAAAATGTGAATCAAGTTTTTTGGAAGACACATGTACGCGTCGCGTACCTATTTTATTATACGTAACCATTTCCTTCCCCAAGCCAGATCTTTTGGAATAACATAAAAGGACACCTTATCTGCTTTATTTCGGATAGAATTGTTAGAACAGGTTGGTACACAACAGCTAAAACTACTGCCACTGTGATAGGTCGATTTTGAAATCGAATTTCTTTTCAACGATGGCGACAAATGATTTGAATCTTGAAATATTCCCCCCCCCCCTGGCACTTCAGAGACCTAACCAGTGCAGCAGTTCTCAAAAAAACTAGAGTTTGGTTGAGACGACAGCGATAGAAAGGCCAGAAACAGATGCTTCCAAAGTTTTTACATTGGATGCGATTTTGAGCTTTTCCTTGCTGAATATAACTACCATAATTCCTTTCGGACTTTTTCAATTATGGGAACCGACAATTGTAAGAAGCAGAACAGTTTCCAAGTAAATATAATAACTGCCTTGAGCGGAAACGCAGATTAACGTTTGTGTTACTTTTATGTAAAACTCATTTCAACTAACTGCATTAGCAGTTTCCTACTAAAGGAAACTACAATAACTACAATTCTGGAAAAAACTAATTTATTCTATCTTATCCCCTTTCACCCCTAACAAAATTTGTTGAATTTAGTATTTATAAACTAGTAAGTACACATGGTGTTCTTGCAATCGACGAAGCATTGTATACTGTACATCCATGCACGTTGTTCAGGTGAGGTTTGATTGATCGATATCTTTTATATTATTCATGAGTTTCATTAACTTTTTGCCAATATTGTAGTCGACGATATTGTTTGTCGAAAAAAAAGACCGACACATTTAACACAACCAGCACTGATGCGCTGTCGATAAGTGAAGGTGAAATTGCTGATGGATCCATCAATGGTCGTTTAATTGGGTTGTTATGTTCTCACGCGAGATTTCACTTAGCAGATTTTAATAAGTCAAAAATTATCCGTTTTAATTTTATTTGCCCATTTTGCATTTGTTATGTTTGATATTTTTGATATCTTTCAAAGGGCTTTTATAGTTTCAACCTAATCCAAATTAGATTGGAGCAAATTAACGAGTATGACGTCAGCACCCGACATTTTGACTTATTAAAAGCATCAATATAGATTCTGTTGCGCAAGCTCAGAAAGTATTACCTTATATAAATATTCAAACTATTCAAACTTACCACCAGAAAAACAAAACAGGAATTGCAGTGATAGCTGTCGCAAGCAAGAACATTCTCCACGCGGGAATTAAGTATCCAATCAGAGGCAGTATCGATATTCCCACAGCCCAAAATATGAAGGATCCGATCCCCATCCATGAACGATATTTGTCAGTTGTCAATTCCGTAAGCATAGGAAAACTAGTACAATTTCGTAACCCTGTGGAAAACGTAGATTGCTGTAATATAAAAACTAGGAATGGATAGTGTATCCATAAAGCGAATATCGAAATGAAGCGAATATCGTGCGACTTATCTGAACTAAGGTCTGTTCTATACGTCGAATTTCGGTCGCGTCGAATGCAATTCAAGCAATAGATAATTAACAATTATTAAATGAGGTTTTAGCACAATATGAAGAATTATCAAGCCCAAAGTTTGCCATTATCAACCGAAGCCGAAGGCTGAGATTGATAACGGCAAACTGAGGGCTTGATAATTCTTCATATTGTGCGAAAACCGAAGAAAACAGCCAATCAAGAATTAGGAAAAGTGTTTTAACCTATTTTAGAAGAATTTGTTGATCTTTTTATATTCAACAAATCTTTATCTTCCAGTAATTTTTGAATTTCCGCTTCCCCAAGGTTGGCGAACCTTTCAGTGGAAGAAGCCATTTGTATTTTAATTGTATTAAGAGAAAAACAATTCCTTAGTCCTTTGGCAGCCGTCGTCGCCGTCATATCAATAGCGAGCTTAAGATCTACAACGCGAACTTGCGACGCGGACGTCGCATTAAACAAGTTTTATTTTAAAACGATGGCAAATACAATTAAAATATTTTTATCACAGTAAAAAAAATGAAATTATACTGGAAAAAATGTACAACATAACAGAGGCTAGCAATATATTAAGAAGATATTTTTTATCATAAGTTTTTACGACTTCTATGACGACGAATCTTTGCAAATATCACGTCGTCTCGGATGGTAGTTTTGGCGGGAAAATGTGCGTTCGTAACAATAGTCTATAAAGCCTGGTTTCTATCATTTCGTATGGCTGTTAACGTGTCATAACAGTGTCACAAATCTCGCAGAAATAAACTCTGACAACTCTGACTAGGCTTACACTCGAAAACTAGGCTTAGCTAAGCACGTCCGCGTCGTAAGTTCGCGTTGTAGATCTTAAGCTCGCTAATTGCATTCGACGCGACCAAAATTCGACGTATAAAACAGGCCTAAGAGGTCAATTTGATCTCAATCTTCTCATAAAACCAAGTATCATGCATGAAGTATACATGAAGGGTGTACCAAAAAAGGTAATCCAACTTTGGCATGTTACCGACTTATCGTGCATTAGATATTACGTTTATCCATTTACTTTTTTCATACCAATAAAGATCAGCCTTTTTGGCTGCCGAATGCTATGTAATTCTTGTATCATATTGCGACCTAAAATAGCTAAACAAGATCCGATTTAAAACCGTCGGAAATTGCATGTAAAACTGTCAGTGTTGTCTGAGTATTGAACTTATTCTCAATGAAGCCCCTAAAGTAAATATGGCTCAACGCATGTGTAAAGCATCAAGTTTTGATTAGCCTGATAACAGACCTACGTTTCGCCCGCCCTAAAATTCGCGGGTCGACGAATAGCGAAACGTGGGTCTGATGAAAATGTTGTCAAAAGTGCATGTAAGTCGACCGCCTTGGCGGTCGACAAAGCTGATTGGTCAATTCACCGTGAAATGGGTTGTGATTGGTTGGTCGCTAACATGAAAAGATTTGAAAAGATCAGAATATTTTCAACGGTAAATCAACGCATATAAATATGCATACAGTGTAATATTCTATGGTAATATTCTAAATATTTTGTGATGCCGAACGAGGGGAGTGGAGGGGAGTAGAGCAGTACGTGTCAAATTCTTCAGCGTTGTATCTTTCCGTTGTAATAAACAATACAATATATAATTTTTTATACACGATCTAAGTTTTGCGGTTAATCATAATAAAACTCGGATACAAATATGTGCGCATTCATGATTTACATTTTGATAACATAGCACGTACAAAATATTTTATTTAGATTTTACCATTGTATGGCGATTTCAAAATGTATAAATTGTAAGAGTTGGGATGCAATTCAACAATGGCACATTGGCCATTGCCAAATTTACGTAGGCAGATTTTATCGCATTTATAAAATGTGTTGAAAATGTTGTATTATTACTAGTTGTGACAGTTTGTTTACAAAGGTTTAAGTGTATAAAAGCAACGGGCTCCATGGGGTTCCCAATATTTTAAATATTAATTCGAATATCTGTACTTATCGACTCTTAGGGACGGACCAGTTGATTTTTCATTGGGGGAGGGGGGGCGCATTTTTGAGAGTGCTCGATTTTTTTTTTTGGACCTCACCGACTCCGCACGATTATTTTTTATCGAATTTTGCCGCGTGCACGATACTTTTTTAAATTTTTACTATAGCGTTAATACAATAATAACCACGTATGGTTATATTCTGGCTGAAGAATGTATTTGAATATACAGCATATAACCACAAAATAGGAAAGTATAGCAGAAGTGTAACCCACGAAAATTTTAAGTCGCTCACGCCATCCTGGCTAGTAAAGCCGGAAGTTTTTATCAGGTTTTGGTGGGTACAAAGTGCCGGTTGTACTAGCCAGGATGGCGTGATTGATGACAAATCGCTTGTAAAAACGCGGACAAATACTTGCTTGAGTGAGACTTCTGGTATACCTTCCTAGTCTATGATATAACTATCACAAGTATGGTCTACGAAATGTAGACCATAGCCCCGATCAAAATTGGATCAAGTGTATTAAAGTGTTTAATCCATTTTGCATTGGCGTAATGGCATCTATATACAAATTCTCACGGTTCCCAATCGTATCAGTGTTCCCAATACGTATTATAAACCGCGATTTTTATTCAGAATCAGAGAACGATATTAATGAGGGTGGGAAAGGGTATTTTTGTGAGCCGTGAATGCAGTGGCGTAGACAGACTATAATTTTTTGGGGGGAGGGGGCATATATCGAACGCCGAAGGCGTAAGTCTTTTTAGGGAGTCCGAGGGAGAATTTTAAAATCTGGAGTCCCTCAATGGCAATTTCCCGTATTTCTGGGGATTATTTCTGAAGATTATTTACTGCATAATTCTGAAGATAGATTATTTACTGCAGGAAAGACCTGATTTTTAATGATTTCTCAATAATGTGGATCCTTAATTTGACTCAACGAAGCTTACTTGGTCGCGTGTAAATAGTTAAATCGAAGTTTTAAAACGCATTTTAACCAATAACCACCATAGGCATTATTTTCTGTAGTTAGATTTAGGAAAGATTAGAACTTTTATAGACAATTTGGTGAACAGATGAGATTGGTAGTCACATGGGTAGTCATCATCCCCCCCCCCAAATTTCTACCCGGATTTCATCTTTTTACAAGGGCAGTCCTTCAGCCTATTGGGGGGGGGGGCTGAGCCTGCCCTTCTCTACGCCACTGCGTGAATGGTCAATATTTGATTTGGGAATTAAGGATGTCTGTTTCGTGAAGTGTGATTTTGATTTGTTTATTACGATCTATTTTATAATAGCCATAGTGGACATAATACGCGATAATAATTTATATGATCGATCTCACTCGATTGCACAAGAGTAGAAACTTCGGAGGCCTTTCGAGGTCGTCGGACGTACTCATCACTCAAACTTGTAAGTAGTTTTTAACTGCCAGGCAGAGAAGAGAACTTAAAGCGTAGT